TGTGAGTCACTAAACTGGCTGAGTTTCAGCATCCAAGTGATTTGTAAATTATTGTTCATTTTCATGGCTCTGATGCTTCATAATTCCCAGTGTTAAAGATAGGACATTAGATATTAACGTTGAAGCTGCTGGCTTAATAAAAATTTAAAAGGGCCTCCTCTCATTAGGAAATGAAGTAAAGGAACTAATTTAACAGTGACCAAGGTGAGCTGGCACAGGCATGGGCTGGTAGGGGTTTGGCTGCTATGCTGTGGCAACAGTGCAGGAAACAATTACCCTCCTTTGCCGGACAAGCCAACCCTGGGCTTCAATCACAGCCCCTTCCTTCCAAATCACAATTAGAAGCCATCAGTTGGTTCTTATGTTCTCCCCAGGAAAACCATTTTGCTTTACTAATTTCCAGCTGCTTCAGCCTTTTACTGGATTTATTTATTGAGTTTGTGAACTAACAGCTTGTCTCCTTAAAGTCCTGAGTGGCTTTGGCCCATGGCACCAGCGTGTGGCTCTGGGGGAGGGAAAAGACACAAGGCCCTGGAAGGATGTACCAGCTCGAGTTAAAAAGCGAGATTGCATCCCGTACATCAGCCGTCACTGCGACGTCTTTGTGAGTTCTGCCTGGGATCGTGGAGGACACACACGTGCAGCACACACGCACAACGCACACGCGCAACAACGGCTCGGTCCTGCCTGTCTCTTCTTCAGAGTAGCTTCCCTAATTTCCACTCCAACAGGCAGGGAGCGGGAGTTCCATTTCCTCAGATCTTCCCCAATGCTTGATGTGTCTCATTTGTTTGAAGCATTGACCCCTGGAGTATAACAGCACACAGAGCTGTTCTTCCGCCCTCGCCCCGCTGCAGTCCCACCTGGGTAAAGATGGCATCGAGCTGGGCAGCCCCTCCCAGGCTTCTCTTCACTCCGGTGCAGGCAAATGCACAGGAGTGGGGCAGCTGTTTGTCCATTTTTATAAAAACAGGGTCACTCATCCACTTCACTCTACAGCTCGCCTCTGTCACCTGACCCTATATGTCACTCCATGTCAGTAGATACAGACCCAAATCCTTGAGTGAACATGCACATGCAATTCTGCATATGCACCTTCCTTTTAAAAAGCATCTTTGGGGCTGGTGGGTTAGCTCAGTTGGTTGAGCTTGGTGTTTCCACACCAAGGTCAAGGGTTCAGATCCCCATACCGGCCAGCTTCTAAAAAGCATTTTTGACATCCCACGTATATAGCACTATTGAACTTTGAAATGCCTGCTAATCTGAGAAGTGAGGGGGGAGTCTTGTTGTTTGAATTTGTTTCTCTCCAGTTATTTGTTCATTCACTAACACTCCTTGAGCACTTCAT